TTTTTTTTTTTTCAGATAGCACTCCTGTCACTCTATAGCATGTCTGCCCTGCCTCTCAATAGTGCATGAAGATGCTGCACCTAATAAAGTTGCAGCATAACAATTGCAGGCATCTATTTCAAGTAAACCAAAATGGAGATGACGAAAAATTAAATGACATTGGCATTGTAACCAGGAAAGACAATAAAACATATACGCACCTCTGCTGCAGCATTTGAGTACGTTCCATTAAAAATTTTTCTGCAAGATTTATACATTATAATGTTACTTCTATCTCATGTTGAGCAATTCAGACACTTTGCAGATAAGAATACTCACAAAACAGCATGTTGAATATGCAGCATGATAAAACTGGGAAAGAAGAAATAAAAGCAGTACCATCAGGGGAATTTCACTCACTGCATCATTCACTGTTTCCTTCATGTTCAGACACACATATAGCTCAATTTCACACATCTAAGATAAAATAAAAATGATCTCAGATCACTAGCTAAGATTTTCCCCTCCTTACCTGAGGAAAGTTTGAACAAGGGAATATTCGTCAATGATAAATATAAAGCGTGGTCTGAAGAATTTTGGGTTTTTTTGTAGATGATTGCACCAAATGAAAAACAACTGTACTCTGAGAGTCTGGAGGTGGGACTCTGACCGAAGGTTACCATTACTGCCATGAGCTGTTGGCAGACATGATAGACAACCTTTCACATTGATACATCGTTCCCGCAGAACGACTGGAAGTACACAGTGAATTTAGTCACATTTGTGACTGACAGACTGCAGTTTTGAAAGACGTACTGAGCCAAGGATACTTTACAAACTGCCGCTCCGAGGGACGGTTAAAAAAAAATAAATCTTATTTCTTTCATATAGACTCAACAGAAACTCTTACATCATAACCTTTAAAGTTGGGATTTATTCCAAGGTGAAAGCTTTTGTTGTTTTAAGGCCACATTGCATTTAAGCAAAGGCATGACACAAAGGATCAGAAATACAAGGTATTTTTTTGGTGACAATCTTATGGTGTTGCAAATCTTTATTATTTTACCAATAATTACTACTACCAATTACATTCTTGGAATTAAAAAGATTTAAAACTAAATTTTCACCCAATTTTAGAGCTGCCAGAAAACAAGCGCAGTCAAAAGTTATGTTTTTCTTTGCCGCTGTGGAAAAAGCCTCACATTTGTATTCTTTGATTCATTTTTGAAAGACATCACATTGTCAAACCTTTGGAAGACATGAAAGAAATATCAGTTGCTCTACTGCTTGTGTACCCCGCCTCTCGCCCGGAACGTTAGCTGGAGATAGGCACCAGCACCCCTCCCGACCCCACTGAGGGACAAGGGTGTTCAGAAAATGGATGGATGGATCTACTGCTTGTTAGAAAGTTGGCACTGAGGAGATAAGTGATAGCTCCTAAATGAATGCAGATTTTTTTTTTTTCATTTGTTGGATTATTCTTCATTCAATGTTCCCTCTTTTATTAAAGAAGGAACACTGATATCAGAAAGGCAAATAATTTAAAAGGCAAGTATTAAAATCTTAAAATAAGAAAACCTGGATAAATGTCCTTTTCTTTTCCATTATTTTTCAAAGCAGACATGTAATTGAGAACACACATTTAGCACAAACAAGAGTTCAACTATATATATATATATATATATATATATATATATATATATATATATATATATATATAAACGAAAATAGTGAGGATTTGCGTTTTTCTGTGTATTCATTTTGGTTTTTGTGTCTATTGAGTCTCTGTGTTGTCTTGTCTACCCCTTGATTGGTTACACCTGTTCCTTGTTTCCCCTGATTGTCTCCCTGTGTGTTTAATCCCACCTGTGTTCCTTGTTGGGTCCTCATCAAGTCTGTCGTCTTGTCTGCTGTCTATGGATTATTCTTACCAGTTGCTACCAGTTTTGAGCTACTAACCTCCTGCTCATCTGTGCTGCCTGGACTTTTGGATTTTGTGCTTCATCTTGTCTTTTAATCATTAAATTCATCATCATTCACTCTACTACCTGGGTCTGCTGCGTCTTCCTCACCAACTCTTCACCGCAAATCATGACGTGTATAAACTTTCTGCTTTATATAAAATGCTTTGGGTTTTTAAAAAAATCCATTTGGAATCCTTTTAAGTACTGTGGTAAGAGCTCTAAAATTATTGCTTGCAGCCAAAGTTTTGGCAGACTTCCTCCTCACTGTATGAACCACTATAAAACAGTTTGATATAGGAACCTTTATACACACTGACTTTTGCTTTTTCAATTTGGGAGGCCATTGTGAAATGCATCGAAAGAGACAAGCGTGCCAAACACCAGAGCATCACTTTTTGTCCTTTTCCTCCCATATGTTTTATATAAACTGTAATAAGGGCTGCACAACTATGTTTTTGATCTCCTCTTAAACTTTAATCTGTTGAAATAATGATTCTACATGTCTGAGTGCAGCATCTTTACATGGTTATTTAAGCAAATGTCACATTTTAATATTCTTTAAACATGTTGAGCAATGCAAATAATGCTCCTTATTTTTATTTTCATATTAGTAGAAGTCAGAGAAATGTGAGAACAAATGGTATTTAAATCACCCTCAGACAGGGCTTAAATTGTGCTTTGCTTTGTTTTCCTGCTCCTGTAAGCCAGAAAATAAAATATTCAATTTCACGCTCTTGATACAAATGTATGAGCTTTCTGGATTTCGTTAGATGCTTTTCAATTTGTAAAATGGAATGGGAACTTGTGAGATTAACGCAGCTTACCTGTGTGGATCACCAAGGCTTTCTGGTGCAGCCTTCACCACGATGATGAGGGAAAGACTCGGAAGAGGAAAGTCGTATTAAGGCCTGGGTCGATTAAGTTGTTGTTTTGCTACTAATGAGCTGGTTGATCTCAGGAGGCTTATCCTGTTGCTGAAGTGAATAAACCTGGCGTAATATATGTTTGTATTCAAAATGAGTTTACCTTCTGCCTGAGGTTGTGTACTGCAGTGTGATTCTAAGTATCTTACAAACAAAATCACACTGCATGACCTTTTTAACATTTTGCCACGGTACAACCAAAAATGAGAAAGTATTGTTTTTTTGGAGCAGCTGCAGAGATCTGTGCAGAAATGTCTTACATGGAGGAATGACGAGACGTTTACTACAAGTCACAGGAGAACAAGGTAAAAATCACAACAAGCCTTGTTACAGCATCTCTATGTTGAAACATCCAAATTTGCAGTGCTATGGTCTGGGATTTTTTTTTTTTCCAACATGGTACTTGACATGATAAGAATCTCAAGAGAAATACTGGAATTAAACCCAGTAGATGCTGCAGATGTAATGGCTTAGATCAAAGCATACTTCTGTGCCCAGTCTGTCAGTCAGACTCCAGATGTAAATGCAACTTTGACTGTGTGGCTCGACTTGAAAATACCTTTTCACAAACAGTCTCTATTCCTTCTAACTGAGATTGACACATTTTTCAAAGAACATTAGCAAAAAAATGTCAGCTGCACATTTCCTTAAACATGTATAATTTCAAGCCAGATTTATTTTAATTGTTATAAAAATCACCTGGAATTAGTTTAATTTTGCACTCAAAGCAGACAAGACTATGCTTATAAGTAGGGATGTGTATGAAAAAGACCAAGCAGATAAGGGCTTATAAAAGCAGAGGGCTTTCACTGCCTGAGGATATGTCCTATTGGGAATCAATCTGATCCTAACCTGATGCTTTTTAACCTTTTGTCGGATGGAAGGGGACAAAAATACATTCACACTGGGGTAGGCAGAACCACCTGGAGCTTATCCAGCTCAAGACTGTGGAGATGACAATGGCCTTCTGGAGAAGTCACAGACTGCTTAGACTTTTACCATTAGATCAGTCCTATAGAGCGCTATTTGCAAAAACCAGAGCTCACTCAATGACACAGTTTCTTTCTCCAGGCGGTCACACTGATGAACACTTAGCAGTCAGAGTGCCCAGACCAACAGGATGCCGTACATATTTTCTTTCCCAATAACTATTTTTATATATTTGTATTTAAAATGTCTTCATTAAGAGAAAAGAGGGACCAAAGCTAAATTACTTGTTTGACAACTTGACAAATAAACCTGATTCTGATTTTTATTTATTTCTAGTGATTGAGGTACACTTTTGTTTTTATAACCATTTCCTTGGGATCAGAGATGTTGAGATTTGAGTTGTAACGAACTTCCAGCTGTAGTTGCAGCAGGAAGTAATTTTCAGGGTGTATATATAAGCACACCACTCTTTCCAGCACTTTATTTGCAGTGTGACAAATGTGAAAAAGTTCTAGGGTAACAAATACTTTTGCAAAGCATATGGCCTCCTTTCTCCATAAATGACGCATTTTTTCAAATAACACATATCACTTTAATGATGTATTGATGCCTCAGCTATTAAAAGACAACAATATATGTTCTTTTTGCATCTCAGGGTAGTTGTTCTCATGTTAACAAATGTTTGAAGAGATTTTTGTTTTAGGGAGAGCCGTCACTGCGGATGCATCAGGCTTCTTTTTGAAGAAGCGGGGGACATAAAGTGTAATCCTCTAATGACAGACAGGCTTGGCTTGGCTCACATATTGCTGTGAAGGTAGCTACACATATCCTGTTAACTTCAATTTGCTCACTGCTGCTGAGCCAGCAGACTGAACTGAATGATAAGATTCCAGATTCCAGCCTAATCCTTCTATCATGTTCCGTCTCTGTTCTGCGCCGCCCGCATCCGTCTCAAACGAACCACTACCGGTTGATTTGCCATCGCCGCTGGCTGTGGAAAGGAGCCAGTAAATGTTCCTCCGAGGTGTAATGGGATGTACATTTTGTTGTTTTCCACATCAACTCATTCTCTTTTCTTACTAAAATGCAATCAGGAGGGGAAGAAAAAAAAAAGCTTAGTGTTTTCTTTTTTTTCTAGTGTCCTCTCTGCTTTCCCTTGTTTCCTTGGCACCAGAGAGGTTTTAGAAAAAAAACAGTGTTTCTTCAAAATTGACATTTTTGTAGCAATGCAGTGATGACAGTCTAAGCTTTAAAATCGGTTCCCCCACTACCACCACCACTGTCTTGCTAAGATAGGACTTGTCTTTATGCTTTTAAGAAACGGTATGCATAATGTATATTTTAAATCCCACAGTGTCTGATTAGAGTACTTCACACAGAAGTATTAATACCAATTTAAATTGTTCCCCATGTCATCCTGTTACAGCCACAAAGTTCGATGTATTTTATTGAAATTGTATACGATAAAGCAACACAAAGCAGTGCATTGTAATGAAGTGTAGGGAGAATGAAGCATTAAATCTGAAAGGTGTGTAGATTTATTCAGCCCCCTT